TGGTTCACCCCCCAAATGGCAGCTACAGTCGGTGCGCTGTGCTGATCCGAAGCCAGTAGCCAGGAGCCAGGTGCTTCCTCCTGGTCTCCCATGCGGGTGCAGGGCCCAAGCACTTGGGCCATCCTCCACTGCCTTCCGGGGCCACAGCAGAGAGCTGAACTGGAAGAGGAGCAACCGGGACAGAACCCGGGGCCCCAACCGGGACTAGAACCCGGGGTGCCGGCGCTGCAGGTAGAGGATTAGCCAAGTGAGCCGTGGCGGTGTTTGGGTGTTCTTTTAACTTCTTTTTCTTTTCACCCCCGGTGGGTGATATATTTTGGTATCTTGTGGACTACCTTTCTACTGATCCTAATTTCCTGAACTTTACTGGACCTGTGCTGTTGATTCTAGAACTGTATATAATAGGTTTCATCATCACACATCTAGTAGAAGAGCAGAGTTGATCTGTCACCCTGTGAGAAATACTTGATGTTATAGAGCTTCCAGTTCTAATAAACTTGGGAACTCCTGGCAAGAGTTTTTACACATTGGCTTGAAATAGCTCCCCTGAATAACTCCCTTGAGTAACTTCCCTGTCACTGGATGAAAGCTCCATTCAGAAGGGAAAGGAAATACTGCAACAGTGAGTACATTTTATTTGCCTTTAAAAAAAAAAAAGCCACTCATATAGTTTAAAGATAATGAAAAGATTATGGTTAAATACCTTAGACCTCAATATAAATACAAAAGTCATCAGTTTTTGGTACCAAAAACTTTGCCTTGTCGATCAAGCTGAGAGTTTCTAAAGTGTGTTCTGAGTTCATTAGTCCCACTTCATGGTGAAACAAATTTAGAAAATTCTGGGTTAAAAATTTGAGTATACTTTAATTACAGGACTTCTTTAAGTCAGTAAGTCAACATGTATTTTAAACTTCCAAGCGAGAGAGTTATAGTTTGTAGCACTTCAGAATTTGCCCATAGAACTACCCCACCCCTTATCTCACTAGTTTTTGAATTTCCCATGTGTAAAATGAGTAAAGATTTACCTTTTTTTTTTTAAGATTTGATTTATTTATTTATTTGAAATTCAGAGTTACAGAGAGGCAGAGGCAGAGAGAGAGAGAGGTCTTCATCCAGTGGTTCACTCCCCAAGTGGCCGCAACAACTGGAGCTGCACCAACCCGAAGACAGGAGCCAGGAGCTTTCTGCGGGTCTCCCATGAGGGTGCAAGTGCCAAGGACTTGGGCCATCTTCCACTGCTTTCCCATAGCTGAGAGCTGGATTGGAAGTGTAGCAGCCGGGACTCAAACCGGTGCCCATATGGGATACCGGCACTGTAGGTGGTAGTTTTACCCGCTATGCCATGGCACCAGCCCCAAGATTTATCTTTGAACTGTATTGTTTGAGGATTTTCTGAACCTCTAATACTATTTTTATGTATTATAAATAGAAGCCAACTATATAAAAAGCAACTTCTTAAACACATTCCAAGAGTCTTCTTTTCTATGAATAGAAGACAAATATATGCCTGAAATTTTCTGGTCCTTTTAAATACGTACATAAAAATAATGATTTTCTTTTACTTGTAGTAATACTCAATTCAGTGACCTTTTAATTTTAACTTTAATTCTGGAAATGTGTATGTATTAACTTTCAGAAAATGCCATTTGTGAAGATTCTCATTGTAGCTAATGTTGCTTTCTGTAATTCTTACCTGATAACTTACATGATGTTTATGTATTCTATCAGTAAGGTATTTTCATCATTTCTTGTAATTTTTTGTTATTCTTTAATAATTTAGCCTAAGGCAAAATATGAATTTTTTTGGTTTTTATTGTCTTTTTGTTTTTGTTGTTGTTCTTTTTGGTGAACTGACACTAGTTACTACAAAAAGTATCAAAGAAAGTTTATTCCATTGAGTGTTTGGACATCCTTAAATGGAGAAATAGCCTCCTAAGTGACCAAAATTTCTTCTTTTTTTCAACATTTGTGTTGTGCTTTTACTAATAGGCTGATAATGCTGTCTCTGAAGCCTATGAATTATATTTATTTATTTATTTATTTATTTTTGAGAGGGCAGGGAGAGAAAGAGAGAGAGAGAGCTGAGAGCTCCCACCTAATGGTTCACTCCTGAGATGCCTGTTGTGACTGGTGCTGAGCTGGTGGGAACTCAGTCCAGGCCTCCCATGTGAGTGGCAGGGATACCATTCAAGCCATCACCCACTATATCCCAGGGTCAGCATTAGCAGGAAGCTGGAGTCAAGAGTTGGAGCCAGGTATGGAACCCACACATTCTAATATGGTATTCAGACATTCTGTCATCCTAACTGCCAGGCTTAATGCCAAAATTGTATTGTTTTAATTACTTATAAACTTGTTATTCAAAGCTTCCTAAAAAACACACCCACTCTTCACAGCTCTTGACCTCTGTTCTTACTTTCCTGATACCAGTTTTTAAATCAGATGAACTGATAATCTTAGATCTAGTTTCAGAGCTCCCTTAGAATGTGGAGGGAGAAATATTCTTATTTCAATAAACATTCCTGTTCCAAACACTTGTAACTATCCACAAGAACAAAATTTATTGTTGGATCATACTTATTGAAAATGCAGATGGATTGTAAATAATCAATAGATATATATTGTAAATATGAAATTCTTTAGGACTTGATGGTATGAAAATTTTAAGAGTGAACAGACTGAGTTGGTAGCTGGACAGTGGAAGGAGGCCAGTAATTATTTGTTGAATGATTGATAGAGTCCTTATGGTCACATTTGTTACTAAAGAGTTCTTCCTCATATATCAGGCCTGAACATGATGGTTTAATATAATTGTTTTATTCATCAAATAGTCTTTGAATTCTTTTTATATCAAAGCTTCTTTAAAAAATACGTTCGTCTGTATACTCAAAGAATGAAAAGGGCATTAAAAAAATAAAAGATACGTTTCCTTTCCCCCATAGGCTACCTAATATTGATAAGGTCACCATCAGACTGAGATGGTACTAATCTGGGAACTAGTGTTGGCATGGTTCTTGATTACAGTTTTGTTGTGCATTTTAAATAAATGGGATAGCGAAAAGAAAGCCAAAACTGACTTTTCAGTAATCATATTAACTTTAAAAAACTTTTATTGGCATTATCGTCATGCCTGAATCTGCTTGCTTTTTTGTTTTTTGATTAGGAAATTAGGGTCAACCCTCCTGGTAATGGTAACAAAGATCTTGTTACATAAAGCAAGATATTAGAAGTTAACATAATTGTAGTCCTTTGTGGTTGAAATTCTAAAATTCACAGGCATATGTAATTTTGTTTTTGAATGTTGCTATTTTTTGGTATTATTTAGTGAATAATGTAGGACAATATAATGGACATTTTATCTTGAAAACACAAGGAAGTAAGGCTTAAAATAATGTGGAGGAAGTACACTAATGCATTTTTTCTCATAAAGTGGTCAGCTAATATAAATCTTACTATCATCAGGAAATCCTGAACTTGGCCATCAATACTGAAAAGACTGTTCAACTTAATCAGATTTTTAAAATATGAAATCAAAGTCTTTTTAAAGCAAAGGAAAAGGGGGGCATACATCAAGAGCTTGAGAGCAGTATTACTTGCTCTACATATTTTACCTATTCCAGGTGGACATTTTTTTCCCTTCTTTCCTTTTATTTCTGGTCTCATTCTTTCTTCTCCCTTATCAAACTTCCTGTTTCTTTCTTTCTTTCTTTTTTTTACTTTATTTGGCTTTGTGTGTGAGTGTTTAACTATTATATTCATCTCAAAAGTTTCAAGTGGCTGTTATGTATTTGGCTGAATATTTTCCAAGCAGAGAAGACTGCCACTCAGAGTATAGTTAATTATAGGATGGCTTAAAGTTCAAAAAGCCTTTTAAAGCTTTGGGCAAAAATATACTAATATCCCTGACTAGGCTTTTGTATGCCGTAATAAGTAAAAATACTTACTATACAATTGGCTCTACTGATAGCAGTTCTCACAACTAGAAAGAATTTGAAAGAATGGGATGTTAAAAACTTGATAATACACCCAGTTCTTTTAAATTGTATCTTTGTATTCTTACAAAATTAGCCAAGGAAATAAAATTTCTCATTGAGTAAAGCTTGTTAGAAAAGTAAATACTTAAGATAGGAAATTAATATTTACAGGGTTTTCAAAAAGTCCATGGAAAATGCATAATATGAAAAAAGTTATATATATACTATAGAATATTTTTCACCAAAATAAACATGTTTTAATTCCATTTTCCATAAACTTTTTGAAGTACCTCATGTAATTCCTTTGAGAAAAAAATATTTAAGAAACTAGAGATGGGAAAGTCTAAATTTTCCTGTAGAGATTTAATTATAAAAGATTACATTATAAAGAGACTACATTAAAGCATTTTAGGCATACTTTAAAAAATAAGATTAATATCAAGAAAATGATGCATACATTTTCCTATTTATTGAAAAGATTGAAAGTTGACCCTGTAATGCTTGAGTAAGTGCATTTTCTTCCCATTCTAGTGATTTTCATTGCTTTAATGAAAATAATCACAGAGGGAAGGTGATTAAAATAAGTAAAAAGTGGTCACGGAGTAGGTTACTGGTAGATTTGATGTCTTGGTTCTTAGACTTTTCAAAATAATTTTTAGAACGGTGTAATTTAAAAGGTTTGAAACTACTAAAGAATTTTTAAGAAAACTGATTTTAATAGTTTTAATTATATAAAAACTTTTTACTCTCTGAAATGAGAAGTATTACAATGCTTTGTGGTTCCAGTGAACATAAATGGCAAAGTATGACTAAAAATACCTCTGACATTGTTTAGTACTTATTGCCATTCTTGGACCCAATGCTGAGAAACATTTGTGGATGCTGTGTGCTTTATCCTGAAAAGATCTGGTAAAAAAGGGTCACTGAGAGTCTATTGTCTGCTCTACTTCACCTTTGAAGAAAGGGGAGAGGGCAAAGCTGGTATTGGGCAAGTTACTTCCACCTCCCTTTTTGCCCCTGCTTCAGCTCCAGGGGAGCTGGAAATGCACTGGAGGAGTCAGAAGACCTGGGTTGGAGTCCCGGCTCTGCCACTTACTACCTATGTGACTTTGGGTAAGTTATTTAATATCTCTGGCTCTCAGTTTCAGTACAGGCTTTTTTGGGAGGATTAAATAATATGATTTATGTAAATGTGCTTTGTAACCTCCTATAGAAATGTTAAATTTTATTATCATAAGGGTGGCCTCCTTCTTCCCAATTCTTCTGTAGTCTAGTGTCCTGAGCTATGCATTTTCAAAGTAATCCAGAATGACTTAACTCATTTCACCTCTTTCTCTGTCCTCTCTATATTGGAACTATTATTCCTATCCTCTGCATGCTTTAGAATTAAGTATTCTAAGATTGTAAAACCAAGCTGATTAAATTAATCTTCACTATAATAGAGTGTGTATTAGTATTACCACTTCTTTCCCTTCCCACTCTCACCTTTCTTCTTTAATCTTCCCAGAATTGTGTGCTTAGAAACATCAAAGCAACTCTAATACTTGGAAATTTAGACAGTGTTGAGGACAAAGATTGTTCCGAGGGAAGTCCTTTAAATCCTGTTTCTCAGCTCACACCTCCATTATTTGGTTAAGTGGTAAAACTGGAATATAAATGTTTCTTTTATCCTTTCATTTTCTCTATAGGAAAGGAGATGTAAATAGTTTCAAGCTAATAGTTCTTCAGAAGTCTCACTGAAAACTTAGATCCTTAACCTGAGGAGTAATCATAAAGTTAAGAGATAAGGGATTTGTTGGCAATTTCTTCAGACACTTTGAGTTTTCCCTGACTTGGTCTTGTCTTCTCAGTAGAGTAGTGACCCTCAGCACAACTAAATATATAATGCCTGTCTTTATCAGATGCTCAGTTTATGAAGGGTATACAGAGTTAAAGGACAAAGAGAACTTCCCTTTTGTATCACATCGGGGGTCATATCCAGGGATCTTTCTAAGAGCCACAAAGGTTTGTAGGTCAAGTGGTCCAACACTCCCCTACAATCTAAGAATGCTTAAGCTATCTACATGTAAACAACAGTAACAATAGCCAAGTAAATGATTTGCTTGCCATTAATGCCTGATTACCATGCAGCACAATAACAGCTACTTATGCCATAATTAGAGTAACTATTAAAGATTTTCTAAATTTTTTTTGACTTAAACTGTTGACTTATGCTCAATATGGTTTCTTGCTGAAGTAGCTAGTCATCTTTCATTTAAAACAATTAGAAATAATGAACTGTGGTAGAAATCAAATGTAAATTGAAACATTTAAGTACAGTTTTAACTTTATCAGTTAATGGAAAAATTAAACAATAACATGCTAGCAAGGATACTCTTAGACATTGCTAATGGCAGTGTTAACTGGAATAATCCTTGTGATTTTATCCCAGAACTTTTACAACCACTAATCCAATGTTAATAGCTGCTGGGGAAATAAAAAAGGAAAAAAAAAAATTCTAATGGCTAGGAGATTGTCATTGTAGATTATCAGAATAGCAAAAAGTAGGAACTACCTAAATGTCCAACAATAAGTGAATGGTTAATTATAATCAGTCTTCTGGATGAACTGTTACACAGCTGTGTTAGAAATTCATTAACATGGTTACAGTATAATGGAAAATATTTATGATAGGTTTGAGTGAACATATTGTCAATACAATGGTTATTTTAGATTAGCAAAATTATATTCAGCCTTTGTGCATTCAACTTCATAAACTTTCTGTAAGTTCATATGATACTTTTAATTAAAATAATGTTAACAAATAAAACAAAATTAGCGGGAAACATTCCATGACAGCTTATTCTGCTTCTGGTCTTTAGTAGCTGCAACAAAATTTGTTAAGTAGCTAAACAAATGAGGCTTTTTTTTTTCCTGTATTTGTTAAGCACACACTAACAATTAACTTGCTCTGCCAGTTTTTAGTATAGTTGGGGGACTAGACTGTCCTAGGATATTATCAAAATTCAGTATTGGAAAATGCCCTGTGAAGCTAGTTTTAGGTCATTGCTGTTAATATTAATATAATCCTGGGAATGTTAAAAAATTGTGGGCCTTCTTGAGCTCATCTTTATTTCAGATTTTAATTCATTAAATGGCAGTATTAATTTAGTACTTGAGTCATGTAAAACACTGTGTGTGTGTGTGTGTGTGTGTGTGTATACACCCATGCATACACACACAAGCATGTGAGATATGCCAGTGTTTAAAAACTTACGGTATTTACTAAGTGGATCATTGGACACAGGGGCTGAATATCAGTAAGAAGAGTATGAAAATAAGGTAAAAAATTACCTATCCATCTGTTATGGGCCCTGTCATGGAGAGAAATTTTCCTAATATGAAACACAGTAAGTTTAAAAAAAATGTTCATCATAATTACTGTGTGGCAATTTTAAAGTGTTATCCACCACTAACTATAGAATTATAAAACAGAATCCAGTTAGGAAACCAGTTAAACCTATTAATAACACAAGCTTTCTTGATCATAAATTTGTTTACCACCATGGAGTAACCTTGTTGCAACATTAAAGAGCAGCACCATTATGGACACTGGATTCCTTTGTAATTGCTACCAGGCTAAAATATTGGTAAAGTATCTAAAAAGAACCTAAACAACTTAGAGTCTCTCACTAAGGCCAGAAAGAGCTTAGAAATCCTGTCTCAAAGTCTGTGTCACTGACTTATAATACTCACTAAAGAAGTGTAATATCGTGAGGTTTATCAAATTGTGAAATTCATGAACACCCCTTATTTAAAATGTATTTTAATGATAAAATCTTAAGTAAATTTAGGAACTTGGCAATTAAGTACATAAAGCATTATTATTTGTATTCATCTAAACATCTGGGAATTGTTTTGGAATGTGCAATAGTTAATATAAAGAATTTATATGAAAATATTTTTATTGATGAATTTTACTGGTTGAGTATACTTTCTTTCTCAGTAAGCATGTTTTTGGAAGAGTTAATGTTCTATGTCTGTAGGTACCAAGGGAGAATAAAACTTTAACTTGGGTGAATTTTATAAAGATGATTATTATATTTGATAAACTGAAAAGATTAGTCTTAGTTAAAAAATATTGCCTCAGGACTCCTTTCTTCATTGGGAGGAAAATGAACATGTTGCTAATTGACCAGATTATCAGTCCGTTTTGTATTCTATTGGTTATTAATAACAATAAATTATGAAATCATTTTGTGTCAAGTGCTTGTAAGAGCAGTTATAGCATTGTGTGTTAGCTTCTGAACCTTGGTAAGTCATTAGGATAAAATAGTCAAATTGCTTGGGTGAAACCAGTAAAAGACAAACTCTTGTTCCATGTTGTAGCTGTCATAGGAGCTTTACATATGTGGAGATAATAATATCTCACTTTTCTGGATGTTTAACTTTGTACCAGACATTTTTCCAGACTCTTTCTGAGCATGAATTCATTTAAATATAGTTGTTGCTTGTAGATAGTGTAGTCATTTCAGGATAGTTCATTCTCTCACTTGAATCAAAGTAGGTAGTACTCAGTAGCATTATTGAAAATGTGTGCTACAGTAAGAACTATAGCCTCTAAATAATAACAGACCCTGTTTGCTTTATTAATTTCATGTGTACTTAATACTATTGAGGAAGAAATCATTTGATTTTGATGTCTACATATAAACCTTTTAAGATTGAAACTTGGTCAGTCTAATTTCCTCTTGTAGCTTCTGCAACCATACTGATACCTGAAAAGTGATATATGCATTTGACAGCCCAATATCATCTAGGCAACATATGTAATCTTTTCAACTTCAGTTTTGTTGTCTCTGAAAAATGATGACAAAAACATCTAACTTTATAGGAAATGACCATGGAAACTGTTCAGTAAACATTTGGTTAGGTCATTGAGGGATTGAAATGCCTAGTGCATACGTACTTAACATAATATTGGTTCCATTTCGTTAGTCTTCCTTTGAGGCTTATTGTTTGTCTACTCAAGGTGCTGTTGATTGACCTTGAATTGCAGCAGCAGCTACTGATGAAAACTTCCAAAATCAGGACTTGGATATCCATCCCAAATTACCTCTTGTGGACAAAAATCCAAACTACTTTACACTATCCTCAGCTTCAAACGAATTCCTTTTCCTTCCACTTTTCCTATTAAAATGTTCTATTTGAAGAACTAATATCATGAAATTCTATGCTAGGACTCATAAAATGTAGCTCTATAAGCATAAAAATCCACAAATCTCTTGAAAGTAAATTATTTTGTCTCACAAAATGAAAGAACCATGCCTCTTTAAGCTAATACTATTGGCTTCAAAATTAGAAAGATTTTCTCGTTTTTCTTTATGACAATCATTTTCCTCTATACTTTTGAATTCCTGTGGTTTGTAACAGCCTTCATAAGTCAGAAACTCTTGTTTTAGCTCTGACATAAGCTTTTCAGCCAGCCCTGCTGTCAATGTAACTACTGCTTGACATTGACAAGATTCTTACCAGAACCTGGGCTTTGCATATATTAATTTTTAACCCTGAGCAGATTTTTCCTCCTTACTTCAGTGCAGCTTTTAAAGACTATCCTGCCCTTACTCAGTGATAATGAAAGTGAAATTTGAGTATTGTATCGTACATTTTACACTCTGAAGAAAGGAGTTTGTAAACTCCTTAGAATACCATGAACTTCCCTGGACTTTTTGGTTTCTCACTGAGCTTTAATTAATAGTCCTCAGTCTTACAAATTATTGTACAATGTAGATGTCATTCGTAATAGCCACTGCCCTCTCCTTCTATTCCAGAGAATTTATTTGATGTACTTTTTAATACACAACTTACATGGAGTGGTAGAGGAAGCAGGTAGGGAAAGGAGTTTTAAATTGTAGAAAGGGGTGTATTTTAAATAATATGGATGAATTTAGAATTTAAAAAGTTGATTGCTTTGCCCTACTATTTTTCGGTATGGCACATATTAAATGTTTGAAAATCGCAGTGTAATACAGAGACTTTATGCCCTCTTGATACAGACTTTTGACTCTGCAATACAGAGAGACTTCATGCTTTCCTAACATGTTCTTGTGGTCATTGTTCCAGCTATGGCTAAA